GATAGATAGATAGATAGATAGATAGATAGATAGATAGATAGATAGATGAGGGATAGTTTGTTCCAACACGTGCATCAAGTTTTTAAAAATGAATCATTTGTTAGAGTAGAGTGGCCTTCTTTCTTTTTTTCCAGAGTTAGTTGCATGGTTTTATCAACTGTGATCAGTACAAGGCTCAAATCCAACTTCACAAAAGAATATCTCTAAACATCCCTTTCAGCTCTTCAGTCTGCCAGAGCCCGTGCAGTGCTTTGCATTGAAGCCTGATTAGAAGTCATTGTGTGAGTGATTGGACATTCAGCACATAATCAACCAGTTGTTAATGAACAGTGTCCCGCCAAGAAGAGGTGGATTAGACCTTGCCTGATAATAAATACTCATTGCAGCATTAGGTTTAGTTCCTTTAATAATGGTGTGACAGCTGCTGATTTGGCAGAACACAGGAAAGTGTCCCCTGGAATTAAAATATCAAGAGGAAATTCGGAGGATGTAATAAATGTGGTGGGAAGTGAAGCGGGGAATAGGGTGAAAAAGTAGTTTAGGCTCTGCGGCAGTGCTCCAGGAGCAGCCGCACTCACTGACAGCAGGAAGGGCTAGCGCTGTATGGAGAGGGGGGAGTGGAAGGGTGGGAGACTCTAAATCTGTACTGTAGAGTGACTGGGAGAACAGATGTCATCTATGAGTTTGAGAGCTCTGCTCTGTGGGGAAATTTGTGCCTGCAAAATTCAAATATAAGTGTGGAAATCTTTCAAGGAAGGGGGATATTGGAACTTTTGTCTCCATTTCCGTCCAGGGTGTCCTGTGCATTCTGTGTAAAGGAACAAGATGTCCTCCATTCACAACAATCAAACAGGATGTTTGTTCACAGACTTCAATACTACCCATATGGGAGCGTAGCTTTTTAAAGTACTGCTTCTACAGGTCAGAATATGACTTGTGTGAGTGTTTCCAGGTAGCAGCGAGCACCACTGGATATTGTTTCCTTTGACAAGACAAAGATGTACTTGAATAATTACATAGATCATTTATTTGGGGTGAGTTTGCCTGCACAAAAAAAATTTAAATCACATCAAGGCTGCGTTTAAACGACTTACATGTTTCGGTTAGGGTCATCAATGAGAACTTTTTGTTGAGAGTGAAATTATTCACCATTGTTTGGGGTCTTTTTATAAAGCCGTACATGGGCTTATTGATTACCCCGTTAATTAACTATTCTTTATTCTGCATTGAGCAAAGTTGAAATCTTTGACCTTAGCGTCACAGCTAATATTTCCACTATCTGAGTCTGGGTGTCAGTGAAGGATATAGACAAACAGTGCTAAGGCTATACAGAGCCTCCCATAAGCACTGACATCAGGCTTACCAGAGGCTTTGTCCACTCAAGTGTAGGGTCTCTCAACAAAGATTGCATCTTTCCATCCCGGGGCCTTCCCTCCCCACCTCCTGATCCAGCCTCTCTTCCCCTTATCTGTAAGGGCTGCATTTCATCGGCTCTGTCTCTCTCACCCACCGCTCACCTTTTCCCAACTCAAATGATCTTGTTTTTTTTATTTTTTATTTACCCAGCTTTTCGAGACCATTTCGCCCTCTTTACCCAGTCCCCCCCCCCCCCCCCCTCCCTTCCTCACCCCCTTCAGCTCTGGCGGGGCTTTTATATTTTTCTGTCCTGTGCTGAACTTTCATACTCTTCCCCGCTTGTTATTTCCTCCATTCCCTCTGATCTTCCGTGTTGCCTCGCCCCTGTTTTCTCTTGCCCTCTGTTGTTTCCCTTCTTTCCCCCCCATGTTTTCCCCTGTTCCTCCCATCTCCATACTTCCTTCTGCTTTGCTGGCACGGTGACACGGGCAGGCACGTTCGCGCACATGTACGCCGAGCGCCGCACATGTACATGCACACATGTCGGCGCTTGCACGTCGCCAGCGAGAGCCAGAGAAAAAAGGAGATCATGCTCTGTTTGCTGGGGTGAACACATTGCCTGAGGTTCCGGCAGCGGGGAATGAAAGCTTTCACCTGTGAGATATTGAATGTGCATTTATGGACCGTGTTGTGCATGCGTATTGTTTGTGAGCGTGTGTCTAGGTGCGCGGGGTCGTTTCTTGTAATATAGCCCCAGTAATATTTGGTTGTGTAGCCGTTCTCAAAACACTGACACTTTTCCTTTGAGATTGCTTCGACCGTTTTGTCCTGGAAAAGCCTTGTGCCATTGATTAAATCACTGTGTCGTTTTTTTTTTTTCTTAACAGGACAATGTCTTTATGGTAATTTCCGATAGATTTTCACAAGGTTGACCTGGTTTCCAGGTCATGAAGCAGGTTTTTCAAGGATGAGGCGATGTGACTTTAGGGGTCAGAAACCAGCAAACACTGAAATGTGCCACGCCGAGGCATTTGTTCATGTTGTAGGGGGAAAATCCGCTACGAAACCTGTTTAGCTAAGCACCCCTGACAAGGACTGCTTATGCCTCAGACTTCTGTTTCTGTCCTTCAAAAACACGATTACGAATTTAACAGAGCTTAAGACACTCAAAATTGAAACAAATGGACCCTTTGAGCGATCCTTAATTATAGTTCCTGGATGAAGAACTTTTGCTCGGCCGCTTAAGGTTTCTTTTACTCTCTCAGAATCCCCAGCGTTCCAAATTACCCATTATTTTCTCTCCCCGATCACTGTATCGATCCCGCGCTCTAAGTGGGAGATTTAAGTTAGCCTTGTGTGTGCCTACCGAGTTTCTCTCCCTGTAAAGGAGAATCTCTTGAGTTGGTGCTTAACGCGCGCGCGGCCCTGTTTATGTATTCCACCGTCTCGACCGGCCTTTGTGCTGACTTGGCTCCCCCTTCTCCCCTGAGCTCCCATCACTTCACAGACTTGTGGGTCTACAATGGAGCAAGTTAAGAGAGATCAGTGCCAGCGGTGATTGGCAGCGACAACTGTTCCTCTGCGGCTCCGTCACTCTGCGGTGTGTCGTTATTTTCCATTCGAGCAGCGTTGTATCATTTCAAAAAGTGATTTAGTTAACAGGAGAAAACTCCTACTGTTTTAATTGCACAGTGCGCCAACATCACCTTTGAAAAAAATAAATAAATAAAGCGGATGTGATCAAAACCTCGGATAAGTACCAGAGATGTGATATTGCTTTTCAGTGAACTCGTCCACGGCGAAAGGTGACAGATGGGTGAGAAAAAAAAATGTCATTAAGATTAATGGATAGTGGAGCGCATTTTTCAGACATGCTTTGGGTCAACCCGTCTCTTTAGTGGAAAGAATCACTGCAAATCAATACAATCTGAGCGATTACTTTTAGCACATGATAAAAAGTCTACCCTGGTGGGGGCGATCATCCCCGTCATGACAGGGCTCCCATCCAAAGGCCGCAAAAAGCCTCTGAATGGATTTTGTGACTTTGACACTGGAACGGGATTCGGGGAATTTGGAGCAGAGTTACGGCGTCAGATGGTTTCAAGGTCGCAAGCCACCCCGCAGGTTTTTGAGCAAGTGTGATTTTACAATATTAACAGGAATCCAGGTGTCTTGTAATATGATTAGGCAGTTTTCCCCGGAACCGTCACTGAAACATAGTGGAGGGGACATCTTCAACAAGAATAGTGTCCCAGTGCTCCATTCAGCACCGGTATTTAGAGTCAAGATGTGTTCAAAACAGAGAAAGGATTCTATATGTCGACCCAATCCCACAAAACAATCTGTTTATTTTGTTTTTTCTTTCTCGCCACCTGTCTGTAAGTCAAATAAAACTCTTTATACATTGCCTACTTAGCTGAGTGTGTGATTAAATAGTTGAATGTTTCAGTAAGAGAATAGGGCCGCTTTAGCAACGGTTGTAATTGCACCAGGCCGCGGATACTCAACGTTTTTTTCAGTTTTCCTGAGTTGTGCATTTTGACAGTATTTTGACTGTTTCGAGTGGCTGTTGGCTTAGCTCCCCGTCAAAAATTATACCACATTCTCCAAACTGAAAATGCCCCGGTTGCTGCCAACTGGCAGCCCGTATTTAGCAGAAACCCCACAGCATCAAGCCAAAGATGAATGCGCTGGAAAGGTGAACATTGGGCCTGTCAGGTGAAAGGAAAAAATAAATGAATTGAATTGAATTCATCTAAAATTAATGGACCTACATATCACATGGTAACATTTAAGACAATAACATGAGTAAATGTTTATATCTTATTATAAAATCACTTATGCCTTTAGGAGTTAATCATTAAATGTTTCGTAATGACTAATTCATGTTTGTATATTTACATTTTCATGTTTTCATTACGTCCTGTTGCTTTTGACCTGTTCACATGCAACAAATTTCCACTCGTAAATTACTGTTGAAACATAGTTATCCCTGCCAAATCAGAAGAAAAGCTGTTGATGGCTGTTAGTTGCAGTGGAAAGCTTTCCAGCATGTCATCACAACTAAGAGGCCAAGCAGTTAATTCTAGGGCTTCTTCATGGAGATGTGCTCCTGATTACGCCTCCACTCTTCACTGATCTTTGAAAAAACACACACTGATGAGGTCTCTTTACTGGCCTTTCATCCGTCTCGGAACTCAGAGCAATAAATTTGGGGAGGGAATGTGTGTAGAATGTGGCTGCTGGACCGTCAAACCCCACTGAAAGCCGTTGTTTCGCTTACAAGCAGAGGAAAAGAGTTCTAGTTTCCATTGCTGTTGCTCAAATATGAAACCTGCCTATGTGCTGTTGTGTTTGCCTTTCAGTATCTGTTGGATATGAGTATGAGTCATGTCCTGGCGTCATCCACTGGGAAAGGAGGACAGCTCTGATGCAAGGGTTTGAACTGGTGCCCTCCAACCTGGGAGGATGGTCTCTGGATAAACACCACGCTCTAAACATACGCAGTGGTGAGTACACATACGGAGCAAATGAATCTTACACTTTTGGCTTGTAACTGTTTTTTTGTGTGCGTGTGTTTGTTTTTTTGTTTTTTGTTTGGCTGGTTTTTGGCTCTTCGGGGCTGGCTGGATTTTCAAAGGCACAAATTGATTTGCACAAACTTGAGCTGAATTGCAGCTGAATTTTGTGTTCTGAGGTTCTGCGCCCTTAGACTTTGAAACAAACCAGTATCACAGCACCACAACGTCAAATTAGTTGGACTTCACCTTTTATAAATTGCTTCTTTGTTAAGTTAAGTTGCCCAGGACAATTCAGGATAAAGAAAACAATAGCTTGTTTCCAAAGCAGCGCTTGAAGCGTGGAGAACAGAAATGCAGGAGTCCTGTTGATTCACTTACTGTACAACATACATGAGAACCAGATTTATGATACGGGTTGTCATTTCTTAAGAGTTAACCTTTGTTTAATTATAAAAAATCATTCAAATATCATCAAACTACATTAAAAAAAATGTTCTTGTTTAAAAAACTAAGAAAATTGCATCCCTTTCCCCCCTAATTTTCCATTTAATCACTGAAATCTGTGCAATTTTTAAAAAAAGAAAAAAAAATTAAACCTGGTCTATCATGTTACCAGGACTGTAAAACTTTGTTTTACAAGTTTTTGTTGTTTAAAAAAAGGGGAAAACAGTACATTGCCCTCTGAGAGTACACTGACTGGTGGCTTCTCCCCTCAGGAATCCTTCACAAAGGAAATGGAGAGAACGTCTTCCTCTCCCAGCAGCCCCCTGTCATCAGCACGGTTATGGGGAACGGGTTCTACCGCAGCGTGCCCTGCGGCCCCGGCTGCAGCGGTGCGGCTCGGGACATGATGCTGTTCGCCCCCGTGGCGCTCGCCAGCGGCCCCGACGGTTCCCTCTACGTCGGGGACTTCAACTTCATCCGCAGGGTCCACCCTGATGGCTACACCCGGACCGTGTTGGAACTCAAGTGAGTCAAGCGCTTGTTGCACGTGCTCGTCGTGGGGATCTCCCACTTTGAGAAGCGGGAGAATTTCGTACATGTATTACAAAATTAGCTCAGTTCATGTGAGCTTGCACGGCATTAGCTGTGGTTGCATCTGTTTGATCTCACCGGAGCACTCTGAAGTTTGTTTTTAGGTAAAGCCTGTGAAGTTCAGACTTCACAGGCTGTAATCTATCTATTTAGGATGTGAGAGAAGCTTTGCTGTGAAACTACGTTTTTTTTTTTTCTATGTGGATTAAGAGGATGATATCTCGTGCTGCAGGCATGACATTCTCTGTTTCTTTATTTTCTCCAGCGAGGGATCTTGACAGGATTGCAAAGTCATTTGTACTGTGGAATGTTCCCCTTATGTAACTTTACTCTGTCATTCGATGTCCTTATTTTATCTCTGACTATTATATTTGGTTCACTCATAGTGTCTTTATCTGATACTTCCCCCTCCTCTGGGAAGAAATGCCAAAAAGCTTCCTGTTTAAGTTAATATTTAATGGGAAACATAACAACCACCTAAATTAAACCCAATCTCACTTTATGAGGAAAAAAAATAACTCAAAGCAGCCTATGAAGCTCTGAGTGACTCTTATTAACATCATAAATAATAGTTGTTACCTTCTTTTCTCTTCTTTTCAAACACCCCTTAATGGCTTTTCATCAGGAACCGAGACACACGACACAGGTGAGAACTCCTCATTACAATCTCCTTCATGTGCTTTCATGCTCCAACACACACACAGACACATACATACACACAAAGACTTATCGGGAGTAAACACATGAAGCATGTTGCAAACAGGCTGGTTTCCTGCAAATTGCATTGACCTGACTTCTCCTCAATAACACACACACCACAGCCAGAATCCACACTCCCACCGTACACCCCGATCGCATCACATCTGTTAAATCCCCATTTAAATTTCCACTGGGCAACATTACATTTGTAAACAGGAAATCAGCCAAAATATCATGGATTTTTTTTTTTTAAGGGATTAATGAAAGTCTGTGCGGAGGATGCATCATTTCGCTCACTTCCTGAGCCAAACTAAAAGCACGAGGCGGGTAGTGGCTTCACCATCAGCCATAGCCCCAAGTGTTGATGGTGGAATGAGCTCTTTACGCCATGTCGGACAGAAGATTAGACAGATGTTGTGGGGTTTTTTGCGTGTGTGTGTGCGTACACGCCGGACTATCGAGTCGCCTGGGTGTGCGTTCATGGGCGTGTGCGTGGGTGAGAGGGTTTATCCGATTTCAAAACACAGAAGATTTTTAAAGATATCACATCTCCACCCTGCCCAGGTTTCAGGCCATGTATAGATGTTTACTCCTCCAACTATTGGACTGATGTGTACGTGTCTACATGCAATGTGAGGATATAAATAAGCAAACTTGTGTAGCTAATTTCCTACTTTAAAGCCTAAGCAAGTGTTTCCCAACTGGGGGCACTTCTTCCTCAGCAGGGTACCTCTGCAGCTGATGGGATATAAGTGGAAATATTATGGAGAAGCTCAAATGTTTTGATTTTCTCCATAATGGAGAAGTGGATAAATGGTTCAAATAGATTTAAATGGAGTACAGTCAAATTTAATAAATTAAATACTATCCACCATATAAAGGTTATTTAGTCATTGCTGGATAAAGGTTTCAAATAGCCAGATTTGTTTTTCTTAATGAAATGGTTTAAATTATCATGGATGAATAGATTATCTTTTTCAATTGGTTACATTTCTAATTTTCAATTTCCAAATCTCATTTCAAGAAAAGTTGGGACATTTGCTAAACTGCCAAAAAAGCTTCAAGATTCTAATTTGATAATTAACTTGTCTTCAGAGCACTATGTTCACTGTATTAAGTAACCAGCTTAATCGTTTTTATGCTGACGTGACTACTTAGCTTCCAGGAAATATGCCATCAAAAAAAGGCTGGAGGGTGTATCTCTTCTTTGGCAGGTGGTGGTTTTCAAAAGCATCTAAAATGTTAATTAATGTAATATCTGAGAACGTTTCATGTCCAAAGTCTACGGTATCAGTTCAGAAATTAAAAGCTTAACGGTTTTTTATTTTTGTATTTTTTTTATTTCTTTGCTATACAAAGGTAAACTTGAATAGATCCTTTTTGAACAATGGCAATTCCTATTCTTCCATCTAATCACATCTACTACATCTATCTATCTAAGGATGGTTGGTATTTATAGTCTGAGATTAATTTAGGCTTGCTGGGGTACATGACAATAAAAAGTCTGAAATCACCGGTCTAAGCCATATGAAATGGAATCTTCCAGCGCTTTGAATATTCTTTCTTTTTTACCCTGGAGGTTATTCTTTTAGTTCCTGCTTGCTTCTTATTCCTCCACAGCAGCATTTTACAGCTTGTAGTGTTAGTGTTTCTCTTTTATTCTATACTATTGTTCTCCTAAGTCAAATACATTAATAATTCATCCATATTCAGCTTTCAAAGCTTTTCACTATGCATTCTTCCCAGCAAAGTGCCTATCAGCCAAAAGGGCTTCAAAACAAGGTGCTCTCAGAGGGAAGACTATATGGGAAGTACTCAACGTGAAACGCTGTCTATTCTTTTTCTTCATGAGTTTTAGAGAGCAGGGAAGCAAACAGCGGAGGAAGTTCTCAACTATATTATCTGAGAGCCCAAGTAGTCGATTCAGAGAGACAGTCGGGAATAGCCACATCACTCTGTCTATAAACTGTGATCATTGTTTTGTTATTTTGTGTGGAGTTCGAAAGGTGCAGCGGATTGGAATTTTCTCGCGTTGTGGCTGTTTTTGCTTCCCTTCCCTCCGCTGGATGAATTTATTCCGATCCATGTGCGTTTAAACGAGAAAAAGAAGTGATTTGTAGGGAGTTATAGGCACTGTGCAAAGTGGCGGGAGCTTCAACAAATATCATACGCTGCGCTGAGCAGTCGCACGCTCTAAAACACGGTAAATAACTCTCAGAGGATCAAGTCTGAATTATGTATGTGCAATTCAGTGCTCAGCTCTGTAAACAGTTATGCACTTAATGGACTAGATGACTGACAGCCCCCTTTCCCATGTTTCCTTTTTTTTTCTTACATAGTTGTTGGAGGATGCAAGCTACTATCTACAGGCAGTGTTCTATTTTAATAGTATGGGTTAGCAGGGACAAAAGGGCTTGAAAGGGTTCACCTTCAATCAAAATTCAGAACATAATAGCATAAAAGCCTATTAGTTACACTGTGTTGTAGCTATTTAGAAATATTTCCATCTTGGTATTTTCATTTTAACATTTTAAATTCATCTTTATGCATTTGTCTTTTTTTATTGAATTGCCAGAGAAGAAAGAGAAGGGGGAGAGGGAGAAATAGGAGAACAAGAACAAAAAAATCACTTTTAAACACTTTTTCAGGATATCTTCAAGTTTAATTGGCAGGAAGCCTTTGACCAGACCCGGCTGACACTGGATTTCACACTACAAAGCAATTGCTTGGAACTGAGCAGCAATGTTCAAAGTGCAAAATTCAAATCCCCCCCACCCCCTTTTTTTTTTGGGCTGTCATTGTGTTCAGGCTCTAATAATACAACGCAACAAGCGCATGATATCCAAGGTTTTTATCTAATTAATGCAATGCAATCTTTGTCCACATGCAAGTCAAATTCTGTCTCCGCAGCTTTATGTTGACGGTGATGGGGGAATAATCTGTACAGTTTTATATAAGTACAGTGCAGCCCACTGTTAATGCAAGGGTAAATTAATTAAATGTTCAGTGTACTAAAATAAGTATGATGCTTATGCTGAAAAGAAGAAGGAGTTTTCGAATCCATGATATGGAAAGCATTCAGTTCCATATTGTGGGCAAGGTTACTTCTTATCTGTGACCTCTGCAAAATAAGTTTCCTGGCTTCCTTTCATAAACCAACAATACAAATGGAACAATAGACAATTATGTGTCCACATGAGTCATTCAGCTCAGGCCAGATTTAGCTACGTGAATTTTTTCGGTTTAATTTTGATCTCGGGCCTCTGGTCCGTCTTATTCCCACTCCCTGTTATTGCCGCATCGATATTCCTGCTGCAGTTTGCAATATGAGAAACCTCCTCCACAGAAAGATGATGAAACGAACAATTAATGCCTCAAAATTAAAGGTGCATTACATAAAGACGAAATCAGAGGCACATGGATTTGGAAAAGCGCGGAAGATACAACCAGTGATCACAGCACATAATCAAAATGCACCAGTGTTCTCAGAGGTGTCACATCTAAATAAGACTGTGTGAGGAGGCAGCTTATGGTAAGAATTATACATGCAGGGATTATGCTGTTCTCCATCTATCTTGTCTGCATTTATTCATTTATACATAGGCTTTCTTATCTCTGCCTGACAGGTGGGTACATTTATGCTGACAAATAAATGACTAACCTTATAAAATCTTCACCAACATAAAAAAACAACCCTTGTAAGCACTAGTTGGTCATATGGCACACCAGACCCATTCAGTCATTTCTGAATGCTTTTAAAAAGGAAAGTGGATTTTTTAAAAGTCAAATTCTTTCCTCCATTATAAAGCTCCTCTTCAATATCATGGACAAAAAGATTGAAATCATTCCAAAAGCAGTGACATATGCCTGGATGTCACTATTAAGTGTGACAGCAATAAGACTATTCAGTCTCCCATTTCTTCAATATTCTCTATTTTGCGGATATTTGATTTGAATCAAGTTCAAAATCATTTTTTTCCACTGTAAAAGAACAATAAATTCACAGAGATAACTATTCATTTTTTCACCCCAGCTGTTCCTGCCTAACAGCAGGAAGAAAAAAAAAAGAAGACATTTGACAAATCCATCACAACGTCAGCCCAAATGCTGAAAAGAGAACACACGTCTCCATGGTGAATGTACGACATTGCCTGGATTCATTAAACCCATCAAGCTAATGTTAAATAAAAGTCATATGACAGTACTTGGGGATGTGTCCCATGTATAGATGTATTTAAAGCCGACAGGAATTAAGCTTTCAGAGAAAAAGACACAACCTCCCCTGTGAGACGAGAAGAAGACGCGTACAGCTCGGTTCCTGGACCGGTTTGCTGCCACCAGCACGGGCTATCTGGAAACAAGACGGAGCACAATGACATCAGAAGACAATCAAGGTTCTCTGGAGTGAAACATTCTGCCTAGTGTCAAGAGAGCCGTGCAGGTCATGGCCCCTCCAAGTCGGATAAGGATCCCAAAGCATACATCTGAGAGCACTCAGGAGTGGATGATAAGGAAACATTTGACCATTATGAAGTAGCCTGCTGTTAGCCCTGATGTCAGCTTAAACTCACAGTTGGGGGAGAAGGTCCCCTTCAAACCACTGAGAAGGAAACATTTAGCTCAAAAATGAATAGGTCAAACTATCCAGGACCCTCATTAAGAGCCACATAAAGCTCTTGGGGTGGGAAAAAAGGCGACAGCCTGAAACAAGAAAAGAAAAGTAGTCGGTTATTGATTCCAAAGTCTCTGACTATTACATTGTCATTTAATATTTAGGCGCTGTGGAAAAGCCCGTTTTCCTACATTTATGCGGATAAATGATTTCTTTTCCCTAAAGTTTTTAAATGACCACGTCATTCCTCTTCATCTGTCACCACTTATCCCTTACAGCAAACCCTCTGGATTCATTTAGAGAGGAATTTGAACAGTTGGTTTCTGAACGTCTTTTATTTTAGCTCTGTGGTTGGTATATACAACATTGCATGCGTTTTAGCTCAGTGTAAACAGCTGAATCAGATCATTAACGTTCACATTTACATCTCAGGGATCTGTTAATGACTTATTTGATGTCAAACTACATGTTAAGGGCTTTCAATACATTCAGCCTGGTATGTGAAGAGGGTCTCACTAAGAGCCATAATTCAGCCGCCGTTAATGTGGTCATCTCCACGCTATGTAAATGAGAGGACATTAATCTTGCTGTTTCAGCACAGGCAGAGTATCTTGCTGTTCACTGGGATGACCTGATTGCCTCTAAGTACTTTTCCTTCAACGTGCCGAGTTGTCTCGGGATGAAGAAGATTACAGTTTACAAAAAACTAGGCTAGGCTCAGGGAAACTTTTGTTTGATGCGACTCTGGGAAAGTAGGAAACAGGAAAAACAAATCAACGTGTCTCCAAAGGAGCATTTGCATCTTAATAATCCCACAAGCTTCACCTTCTTTTTCAATGAACCGTGTCCTCTGTCTCTCACTAGCACCAGCCCTGCTCATAAGTACTACCTGGCCATGGACCCTGTGGGTGAGGTCCTCTACGTGTCCGACACCAGCAGTCGCAGGGTTTACCGGGTCAGGAACCTCGGGCAGCCCAAGGACCCGTCGCGCAACCTCGAGGTGGTGGCGGGGACCGGAGAGCAGTGTCTGCCTTTTGACCAGAGCCACTGCGGAGAGGGCAGGAAGGCCACCGAAGCGGCGCTGAACAACCCTAGAGGTGGGATAACCCGCACGGTACATCTAGAGAACTCGTACCCTCAATCAGAGTACCCACACAGTGGCACAAGCTGAAGTTTCACTTCTCATCCCTTCAGGCTACGCTTTCAGATTCGCAATCTGCACTCACAGATCAGTATTTAGCAATACTAGCTACATTTAGCTCTAGGGCAAGGCATTGGCTGTTTCATGAAGGTCAGCATATCAGTGTAGAAGCAGCTCCATACACACACAACATTGTGAATGGTCTGGGTGCAGCCCAACCAACCCCTCACATTCTTGGGCTAAGTGAAACATTTTAAGGCAATGCAGGACGCTCAAAGGCTGCTGTCATGATCTCATAAAAAGGGATGTCCATCACCCTGTAATAACCAGTGACACACTGCGATGCTTTCAACCTTTTCCTCTTGAAGGTTCGCTAATTGAAAAGCGAGATCCACGTCAGAAGGGAATAAATCTGTTATCAAATGACGACGTTGGTGTCAACTTCAAACGGCCTTGCGCATTTTATCATTGCGTCCTCCCTTCATGCGTCAATTCAGGTTGATGTCGTTGATCAACCTGGTGGAATTTCACCATCATAAACCCCTGTGGCATCATGTCCTTCTGGGGGCTGCTGTTGTTATAATAGAGTGAAGACAGTGCCTCATGTCACATTCACCCTTGTTTGAAAATTGTTGTCAGTTTCAAAAGATAGCTCTCGCTGTTTTGTAACGGTGAAAACCCCATCGTGGACTCCCGGTGTTCACTGGAGCAGCTGTGTTTGTGTACATATGTGGACTAAAAACATAAAGCAGAAGTGGAAAAGAAAATGTATCCAGGTGTGATCGAACCATGCAGCACCTCCTGCTTCCTCCAAAAGAGGAAATACTTAATAATGACATTTTCTCTAGTTTGGCGAAACAAACTGTTTCTATGCTGCCGCCTTTAGGGGTTGTTTAGAGGACACATTTAATAGCTGTTTTCTTACAATATTAGACTATTTTCGAAGAACTGGCAGCCTTGCCTGAGCGAACAATACCGAAACGAAAAACCTGCTGTCCAAATTTGCACTTTTTCAACCACATGCTTAAAGGCACAGACAAATACAGTATATATATGCTTTACCCTCACTGTTATGTGTTGTTTGATAGATGCATTTTTATTTCATTTTTTTGACTGGAAAGTGGCTAAAATCTCATTATATTTCAGGGAGTCAAATGTTTTGCAGTCAGTTCTTTTTGGGCAGAAGTTTAAATGCTTCTATTTAGATTTTTAAACCAGAAACACCTCCCATGTCTGTGTTTGTGCGTCACTTAGAAAATGATGTGGCAAAAATAATGGAGAAAAAATATGGGGAGGATGTTGTTTTCTTAACAGACCTATTCAGTAGTTATCTCAAATGATTTATTCTTTAAAAAGAAAAATACAAACACCAGTTTCCGTCATGCGAAAAACCAATCATAGTATAAATCCATTGTAATTGAGCAGATTATCATGTTGGCTGTACAAACGTGAGTGTGTAAGAATGATCGCTATTTTTCTGGAGTGTTACGTCTACAACCATTTCATTGCTCCGATTGATTGGGAACTTCTGCTTTGATAAAGTCTACATCTCTTAGTCAATGTAAGGCTGTACTTAAATGGGTTGAATAGCACTTGTTCTTTCGAGGACTCAAATATTGAGCTTTCCCGGAGCATTAAAATGAAACTTAATTGGTTCTGGGATCCAGCAGTGTGCTGCCACAAAAACACCCCATCACTTTCCCATCTAGCAAGGATAGATTGATGGATTCATGCTGCTTGTGCCCTTTTCTCCACCCTGCCATCAGCTTTTTTTAAAACATAAATTGATTTAACAAGGTAACATGTTTTTTGGGGTATTTTTTACCTACTCTTTGATCACCTGATTTAGGTTATTATTACCAACTGCCAACACTACCTTTACAGGTAATTACAAATTTTTTCCTTCTGTAGTTAAATGTCACAAAGTATTGTTTTTAGCTGAAAAGGAGATTGCCTGCCAAAGCTAGGGGGGGATTTTTTTTTACGGCAGACAATTGCCGTGTCACAGTCGGGAAAGCACAGGTGTGACTAATAAAACTAATAATGACGGCTGCAGTCCATTGAGGTGTTCCAGTTTTAGGCTGCTGGCATTATTCATGCTGACTTACTGTCAGTCCAAAAACACTTTAGCAGAATAAGGCCCTCAATAAGGTTTGTTGCACCTGGGTTTCAGTGTGTCTCAAAAGGTCTTTGTTAGCTTTGTCACAAACAAGAAGGCCTGGAAGGAGAACCGTTTTTAATGCGTTGCGTTCACTCGCTGTTATTTTTTTTTTTTTCTTGATAATGACGAAAGAGGATTTTTGGGAGTTGCCGTCCTTTCTATTTTAATTTGCGTTTGGTCACCACATTTTAAAGCGACAGCACAAACACAGAGGGGCCCACAGGTCTTTCCACCGAGGAACTGGCCCCTCTGGTCATGCTGCGTTCATGTCGTGTTGGAATGTGCATTGAAAACAAATGTTCCGATAACTTTTGACTCATGATTGGTGCGAGTTGCATCGTCGTTGCGTTGGAGGTGAAATGGCCCATCCTTCAACCAGAGGATCGGTTGTTGAATTCTAAACTCCTCCGGTTGACAAATTGAGCTGTATTTGAGTACGACATTGAACCCGGCACTGTCCCCGAGGTGTCCTTCAATCAGGACTTGTGGGGCAGGATCAATCTCATATGTATGTAAAAGCCTGCCTTCCCTGCCACCAATTCACTACGCACGCTGCCCACTTTTCACCCCTAAAAGGGCTTTTTTTGTGTGTGTGAATACGTGCAATTTGAAGAAATCCCAGTATAGAACCAGAGCGTTCGTTTTATGTGACGTGATAAAAAATGAAGATGTGACAATTTCACCCCGGCTAACAGGGTAAGCATGGCGTCTCCTCCACTCACAGGGAGAAATGGCATGTGTAGACATGAAACACGAGGCATAAAAAAAGCCACGTCACGTCAAGTTTCTGAAGGCAGATAAGCCTGCAGATTCAGCTGTGATTCTCACTGCATGAAGCATTCGTCCAGTTATTTCAATTAATGCACATTCGTCACACGTTAAGCTCAGACTGTCAATATGACTTGGAGTTTCACACTTTCTTTTCATGGACTGATAGTAGTGGATTTCCCCACCGCACTGCTGCTATGTAGGCTTCATCTCTGTGCCTGCTGTTCTACACTGTCTGTTGGAACAAGCGTGGTGGAGCATTATCTTTTGTAATAAAAGATACATTTGTTTAATTTGCGTTACTTTGTACACATCTAGCTTAGAAGACTTGGAGGGCACTTCATTTTTTTTTTCAAACTAGATTCCCATATATACGCAAAAAGAGTGATGATTACATTATGGGGGCAAAGACATCTCAGAGCTCCCCATATACTGAACTTCGGTCAGTAGCCTGCGGGCGTCTCATTGTAACGTAACCCTTTAGGGTCATTTTTCAACTTGATTCGCTCCCGGTGAGTTTTTTCACAGTCGCCAATGCTGTAGGTTTGAAGGTTGTTAGAAGAATAAGTCCCAGGACAACAGACAGAATAAATGACTTCAAGTCTTTTCACTTTACATGACTTTTTTTTCTGTTTGATTATGTTTGGGCGCCTCGGGCTACTCACAGAAGGTTAGGTCTAGGAAAACCCCATGGTCTGGGTTCAAATACACTAAAAGGGTACAGTGTGTTTGACAGAGAAACCCCCCTGATGCAGAAAAGTTGCTAAACAAAGAGTAATTATGGCCTAATCTGACGTAAGAGCAGACTGATATGGATCACAGCATATCTGATAACTGTAATGTAAAAGAGAAAAAAGCCCAGATATTGAAATTGGATTGCTAATGGGTATTTGATAATATCATGAATAATTTAGTGGCACCTACATCCTGGTTGACATCCATCCATCCATCCATCCATTCTCCTCCGCTTATCCGGGGTCGGGTCGCGGGGGCAGCAGCCGGAGCAGGGAAATCCAGACTTCCCTCTCCCCGGCCACTTCGGCCAGCTCCTCCGGGGGGATCCCGAGGCGTTCCCAGGCCAGCCGGGACACATAGTCCCTCCAGCGGGTCCTGGGTCTTCCTCTGGGCCTTCTCCCGGTGGGACGAGCCCGGAACACCTCCCCAGGGAGGCGACCAGGAGGAATCCTGGTCAGATGCCCGAGCCACCTCAACTGGCTCCTCTCCACGTGGAGGAGCAGCGGCTCTACTCCGAGCCCCTCCCGGATGGCCGAGCTTCTCACCCTATCTCTAAGGGAGAGCCCAGCCACCCTGCGGAGGAAACTCATTTCGGCCGCTTGTATCCGCGATCTCGTTCTTTCGGTCACTACCCAAAGCTCGTGACCATAGACGAGGGTGGGAACGTAGATCGACCGATAAATTGAGAGCTTCGCCTTTAGGCTCAGCTCTCTCTTCATCACGACAGACCGGTACAGCGCCCGCATTACTGCAGACGCCGCACCGATCCGCCTATCGATCTCACGCTCCCTACCCCCATTCGCAAACAAGACCCCGAGATACTTGAACTCCTCCACTTGGGGAAGGACGTCCGCTCCGACCCGGAGAAGGCACTCTACCCTTTTCCGGTGAGAGACCATGGTCTCGGACTTGGAGGCACTGATCCTCATCCCAGCCGCTTCGCACTCGGCTGCAAACCGCTCCAGTGAGAGCTGTAGGTCCCGACTTGATGGAGCCAACAGGACCACATCATCTGCAAAAAGCAGAGATGCGACCCTAAGGCCACCAAGACTGACACCCTCAACACCTCGGCTGCGCCTAGAAATCCTGTCCATAAAAGTTATGAACAGGACCGGAGACATAGGGCAACCTTGGCGGAGTCCAACTCCCACCGGAAACGGGTCCGACTTACTACCGGCAATGCGAACCAGACTCTGACTCCGGTCGTACAGGGACCGAACAGCCCGTAACAAGGGGCCAGGTACCCCATACTCCCGGAGCACCCCCCACAGGATACCCCGAGGGACACGGTC